TTTATTAGATATAAACATTTAAAGTTTCAAATTTTTGAGTTAATATATAGGTATAATACACAAGGGATTACAAATACAGGTAGCTAATTGATTTTTTATGACATCGATATTAGCAGGTACACAGCATTGTTATTATCAATGATAGTAAGGTACATTGTGTGAGTTTATAAATACACTAATTGACAATACAAAAAGTATATCTATTGATAGTCATAATTGATAATAATCAATTCGTGACTGTAATAGCAATATCATAAAAAACCAATTAGCTACCTGTATTTGTAAACCCTTGTGTATTATACCTATATATTAACTCAAAAATTTGAAACTTTAAATGTTTATATCTAATAAACAAATTAAGTTTCATTAAAAATTCAAATGCCATTTACTATTGAATTAAAAACTCAAANGCCATTTATTATTGAATTAAAAACTCAATCATTTTATTGAATTAAAAATATGTGTTACCATTTAAAAAAACAAAGTTGACACCTTTACCAGGCATAAGGGATGAACTTAAAAAGTATTACATAGTTAATAATTCAAGAATAATGTGTAACTAATGATAGTAATAAAAAAATTTTTTTTAATTATTATTATTCTAGAAGTAATTGAGTGGGTTATGATAAAAAAATCACTCTATATATAAATATTAGCCTAACTGCATAAAAAAATTATTTTTAACTTTAAGCTTACTTGAGACCTACTAGAAATATACCATATAATGATTCTAATTATGATATCCACGCTATCAATATTTGACTTAAAATTTTGAAACTAAACAAATTGTATTCTACCGTAAAAATCAAACTATTTTAATATACTGATCATAATATTTAGCTAAAAATTGAATAATAGAGGCCGTTTTTTTTTTTTTTGGCATTTTTGGTCAATTACTAAAAACATATTGATCGACCAATAAAAATTTTTTTAAAAACCTCTGATCTTCACAAAATGCCTATTTTAAAATATACATAATATTATTAAAATGGTTCTCATTAAAATTTCGAAGATCGACTTTTTTGATCCACCCTATTGTAATATAGTAGGCACAGTGGTCTAGTTGATCCCCAATTTTATCCAATTAACAATAAAAATATATTTTTTTCGCGATAAAAAGTTTATTAATGAATATATTTATCTAAGAAAACTATTGCACCAATGTATTATATACAACCAAGTATTTATCATACAAATCATTAGGACAAAAAACCAATATTTTTCAATTTTAAGTTTTTAAAAAATAATATATTTTTCTTTGACATTCAAATATAAATTTTATATTAATACACAAGTTAATATTAATAGGAAACATAAATTGCATTATTTCTCTGTTTATATTAACAAAGTATTATATAAGTATTTATCTAAAATACAATTAGATTAATATAATAATTAAATAATTTCACAATATTATATATGTAAATATATATAAACATAACGTATAAAATAATAGTACCAATAAAAATGAATTTTAAAAAATTGTTAACTTAGTTTTTCACTATTCAACTTCAAAAAACTCGCTTGGAGAATCAACAGTACTTTTCATTTGGTAGCTCTGTGAACATTACAATAAATTAATTAGCATAATGATAAGACTACTGACAAAAAAAATAACTATTTTCAATTATGTATTTATAGTTTAGTAATTTCTTTTTACGTTTAATTTATAGATCATACAATAAATTTAATGTACAACCATATCACGCTCTTTAAAACAAACTTTTCGATAATAACATAAATAAAAGTTTAGCACAACTAAATAGATTTTAGTACCTCTTCAGCAATTTTCTGTAAGAGTTCAGCAGTATTGGGACCAGTTTGATGGACCATTTTCGAAAGAAAACCACTTTTATTTTGTAAAAGAATGTGTGGATGATCAAATTCAACCATTTTTCCAGCATCCATAACAAGGACTTTGTCCGAATCCATCACAGTATTTAAACGATGAGCAATTGTAAGCACAGTACATTTCTTGAATTTTTTTCGGATGGTTCCTTGAATTAATGCATCAGTTCTGTAAAAATTTTATTAATTTTTAATGATAATCTGATTTTAAAAGCATATTTTTACTTAAAAATCTCAGTTAAATTTCGATGTAATATTTGAAAAATTATTAAAAAAAATAAAATAATTTATATGTAAAATAATTATATTTACAATATCAAAATGTTAGGGTTGAAGACTAAGAGGAAATAGTAATTAAAAGGAAGAAATTGTGTTACGAAAAAAATAGAAATGTTATTAAATGCTGAAAGATCTTAAGTTCTTATTACTTTAGCAGTGTAATGCTAATTTTCGTTAAGATAATACGTTCGTTATGGAAAGTTTATTTTAGCTATTACAATATGATTTCTTACTATTTCAGTATTTTTAATTTAGTTCTATCGGTTTCTTAATAATGAATAATGTTAACAGTAAAAGTGATACTCCAATTAAAAAATCGTCTAGTTTTAATGTAGTAACTAAATCTATATCCATTTTTAACGTGATGAATTATCTAAAAAATATGCAAAGTGATCAAGATTCAAAATTATCAGGCACCCAAAAAACGCTTTCTCAATATGGAAAAAATTTTGAAGTTATATTATCTAAAATTGATAATTTGTCAACGGAAATTTCTTTAAATACTAATTTAAAAAGTGAGTCTCTTAAAGTAAAAATTAATAATTTCGAATGTGGACCCCGTATCCAACAATATTGGCTCCTGTTGACATAGTGAAAGAATCATAAGATAAAAGTATTAAAAATCGAATTATTCTAATCTATAATATTCCGGATAATTCAAATGAAACCCATGAGCAATCGTCAAACTGTATTTATCATTTTATTAATGATTTTTCACTATCTATCACAGTATCTTCCTGTAAACGTATTGGTAAATTTAATACAAAACCAAGACCAGTTTTAATTGAACTATTGAATGCTAATGAAGTTCATTCGGTTTTGAAATGTAAACAGAAACTGCGTGATAATGTGAAATGGAAAAAAGTAGGCATATCTCTTGATTTGACGACATTTTACCAACGGAAATTGCTAAATGATTTAAAATTTTTTATTCGCGATAAAAAATTAAATGGAGAGCATAATTGGTTTATAATATACGTGAATGGTTCACCTCAGCTTTCAAAAACAAAAAACTGATTCATCGCCCTGGATCTTGTAATTTAAATTATAGTAATATTTTTCCTAATATAAATTTACATTAAAATTTTTAAAGGGGTATTATAAAAAGTAGGGGGTTAAGATCTAAATTAAATATACTAAGAGTAAATATTCCTTGTTATTTGTATTATTATTTGGTTTTTTCAGAAACTTGGTTATATTATGACTTTTTAAATTCGGAACTTGTCTTAAGTAATTTCAATGTTTATAGATGCGATAGAAATAGTAATACTAGTGCGCACAGAAGAGGTGGTGTTATGATACGTGTTCATAAAAAATTTAATTCGGAAGAAATACTATTACCATTTAATAACGCGCAACAGCTATTTATCTCTATCAAACTTGTACATAGTAAGCGTCTTATTATAGGTTCCGTTTAATTACCCCCTGGTAGTTTATATGATAAGTATTTACAACACATTGAAACCGTAAAATGGGGTTTTGCTAATTTTGGTGATGACATTGACATTTTGCTTATCGTGACTACAACTTGCCTAATGTACAAATATATAACGACTCATCCGGGTTATTAGTTGATGGTCGATCGTTTGGGCGGTCTCATATTATAGTTGATAATTTTGCTGCGTTTAATCTATTCCAATTTAATAATATTAATAATTTTTCAGATTCTACGCTGGATTTAGTGTTTTCAAATGTTCATGAAACTAATGTCTCTTAATGTCTTAATGCTATTATTTCTATTGACAACTATCACCCAGCCTTAAAAATTATAAATCGTTTTAGCTTAAGTGTCCTGAATTCAAATACTTCTGAAACCAGATATAATTTTAAATTTGATAATAATAAACTTAATTCGTTCTTATTTAGTATCTATTGATTGGTTAGATTTATTTAAAAATAAGAGCATTAATGATACTGTTGATATATTTTATTCGACTTTTTATGATATAATTGATAATTTCATACCTAAGTTCAATTATCGTAAAGGGTCTTATCAGCCGTGGTTTAGTATTGAACTTAAAAAACTTATTAAGACTAAAAATAGTTTAAACATATTGTTTAAACAAACTAACAATGCTGCTATTTATGATCAGTTTGTTGATGTTCGCCGTAATTGTAAAATACTATCTAAGAAATGTTACGATTCTATTTGTTCAATGTTCAAAAAAATCTATCATCTAACCCTCGAATGTTTTGGAAATTCGTTAAGAATAGACAAAATTTAAATATACTTCCAATAAGAATGTATTTCAATGACATTTATTCTAATGATTATCAATCTATGGTCAATTTATTTAGTGAATATTTTTTATCGTTTATTCAGCTGTAAAATCGCATAGTAATAATGTGAGTTCGTCTGATTTTGATTTACTTGATATCCATAATTTTAATATTTCTATAATTGAAGTTTTCAATGCTCTATTAGATATTGGAAAAAATGTTAGAAGTGGTCCTGATGGAATACCCCCTATAATATTTTATGAATATCGTTGTGTATTAGCTTTGACAAATTCATTTCCTTTTCCAATTATTATTGAACTCAAGTACCTTCCCTAATCGATGGAAAAATAGTTCTTTAACACCTATTCATAAACGGGTGATAAATCCAATGTACAAAACTACAGGCCTATTTTAAGACTTTTGCCAAGAGGTTTGAAAAAATAGTTGAAAATAAATTTTTTAGTCAAGTGAAACATATTCTTTGTAATTCGCAACATGGATTTAGACAAGGTAGATCTACATTAACGTACTTATTCATTTATTATTCAGATCTAGTCTCGGTAGTTGAGAATGGTGGACAAGTTGACTCAATGTATACTGATTTAAAAAAAGCTTTTGATTCGGTTGATCATAATGTATTTATAAGTAAATTAAATATAATGGGAATAAGGGATCCTATCTTATCTTGGTTGCGATCTTACTTGAGTAATAAAACGCAACAAGTCCGAATGTATTCTAAAGTATCACATATAATTCATGTCACATCGGGAGTACCACAAGGATGTCACTTATCATCTATTCTTTTCTTATTTTTCGTAAATGATGTTGCCAAAATATTTAGGTATAGTAAATGTTTAATGTTTGCAGATGACTTAAAAATATTCAATAATATATTCTCCATGCAAGATTGTTTTAACATGCAAAGTGATTTAGATAATTTTTTTTATGGTGCTCCCAAAATCACCTCTCTATAAATATAAGTAAATGTATGAAAATTTCTTTTTCACGTTCTAAACATGCGATTAAATTCAACTATACAGTCGATAACACCCCATTACACTCTGTTAATCTGGTTGAAGACTTAGGCATTTATTTTTCATATGATTAATCTTTTAGTTATCATATTCATCATGTTAAGCTTAAGGCATTGAAGACATTGGGTTTCATTAGGCGTAATTGTTTTGATTTTAATAATTTAAGTAGTTTAAGGGTATTATATTTATCTATAGTAAGATCAACGGTTGATTATGGTTCTATCCTTTGGAATCCATTTCAATCTACTTTAATAAATGAGTTAAAACGAGTACAACAATTTTTTTTACGTAACATCAGTTATAAATTACATATCCCTGATACAAATTATGATGAATTAATAATTTTATTAAATCTTGAGCGCTTAGCGGCTAAACGTACACTAAATGAAGCTTGTTTTGTTTTTAATCTAATTAATAATAAAATTGATTGTCCTGAGATTCTAGCTAAATTAGGATTTCATGTTACTACTTTTAATTCACGCAATAATATTCTTTTTCATATTAATAGTCATCGTCACAACTATAGTTTCTTTGAACCTCTTAATTTTTTAGCTATATCATGTAATAATTTAGCTAATTTTAATTTTTTTAATGACTCATTACCTAAATTAAAGTGTACTATGTATTATTATTCGCTTAAATAATGTAACTATTTATTGTTATTACCTATCTTGTTAATATTTATATCATGTATTATTTATTATTTTTATTTAATGTTGATGTATTTACTATTAGTTACATTTTTGCCTACAGGGCGTCAAATAAATAATTATTATTATTATTATTTAAAAGAAGACGTGATGCTGAATATATAATAATTATATAACACTATTAAAAATAAAATAATTTAATTACTGTGGATCAACATTTGCTGTAGCTTCATCTAATACTAAAATTTTGTTATTCCTTACAATAGCTCTAGCTAAACAGACTAACTGCCTTTGACCAACACTAAAGTTGGATCCACCTTCAGACATTTTTGAATTTAAACCATCCATTAGTTCATCAATAGCTTCCTTAAGTTTCACCTAAAATCATTAATAGTTAATCAACACTTAATTTAGTATATATACTACATTTTTAGTATAAATTCTATACAATGTAAAGACTTGCGATGTTACGAGTCCTAATTATTTAGATCGAACCAAACTTCTAATTTTAAAGTAAAATCTAAACATTACTTCAATTATTTTTCAGAAAAAAACATTTTTTGAAAAATTTAATACAATATTTATACTGGATCGATTTCTAAATTAATTTACAAGAAAAAAGTTTGGTTTGATTTTTTCTATTTTAAGATCAATTTTCAATCATCATTAATATAAGAAAATTAAAAATTTAAGTTTTACTTCTTCTAAAGCTTCCCAAAGAATAAAATCAGAGAATTCATCAAAAGGATCTAAGTTTTTTCGCATGGTACCCGAAAACAAAACTGGTTCCTGAGGAATAATTGATAACTTAGAACGCAAGTCGTGCAGACCGAGTTTACCTGTGTCTACAGTATCAATTATAATTTGACCTTCATTTGTTGCTAATCTGAATAATGCACTAATTAATGATGACTTTCCTGCACCAGTTCTACCAACAATGCCAATCTATAAAAGATATCTTTTATAGAAAATAATTTATCTTAAAGAATTATTTATACTTTTTCTGAAGGATTTATATTTATATTAAGATCTTTTAAGACATATGGACCATCTGGGGTATAACGTAGATATAAATTTTTAAATGTCATTTGTCCTTTTGCTGGCCAATTTGTTGGTGGTTGATTATCTAAATTTATATGTATGAACTGACATTAGAGTTATTAAATTATGGCTCTTTTTTCTACAAGTAAATTATTTCAGTAAAAATACCTGGAGTTGATTGTAAATCTGGTTCTTGTGGAACATTTGTATACTCAAGGACTCGTTCCACTGAGGTCATTTGATTTTCTAACTCGGCTGTTTGTCTCATTCCCCATTGAAATAATCCTATTAATCCTATAGCTTGAGTTATAGCAAGACCGACATCGCCACCAGAAGAACCTAATATAATATATTGTAAATAACACAATAACTAAGAAAAATGTTGATATTTACATACCATTTACAGTCAGTAAAAAACTATAAGCTACACTACTTATGTACAAAAGACATACTGAATCCAGCCAAAAGGCAAACGCTCTACTAGATGATATATATAAATACCAAGCTGTAGAGTGTAAATCCTATAATCATAAAAATATATGAAAATTAAAATTAAAAAATAAGTTTTTTTATTATCATTGTACTTGATGATTATCAAATTCTTGAGCAAGAATTTGCTCTGCTTTAAATGCACGGATTGTGGTTAATCCTTGTATAGAAGCATTTAAGTGGGAAAACACAGGACTTCTTGCTGTATATAAAATAAACGAAATTCATTCATAAGTTATTTAGTCGTGTTTAATATGTAGAATTATAAGCAGTTATAAATTTACTATTTAAGCCACTTTGTAAGGTTTCAAGTTTGTGCAACTTTGTGGTAGGATAATATAAAAGCATAAAAATATTCTTTATTTTGGGCGAATTAATCCCTTCTCTCCAATACTATAATCTTGATAACAATTTATTATCAAGTTCTAAAGTCAATTAATAAAAATATGAGTTAGATGATAGTGTATTTGGAATAACTTAACAAAATTTATAAATGCATACAATTCCAAGATCTAGTTTTTTGTTTTAATAAAATATTTAAATACTCACTTATTCCTTCTAAACGTTTTATACTTCGAGATGTGGACATATAGTACACTCGTAAGTTGTAAAATATTATCATCATAATTATTGTTGGTATCATTAAATAAAAATTAACAACAATAACAACTATAAGAATACCAAGTAGTGTTAAGCCAATCTACATGAAATTATAAAAGAATAAATTACCAAATTATAAAAATCATGGTTTGGAATTGAAAAGGTTCTTTCTTTACTACCTCCTAAATTATTACAGTCATCCCAATTATGGTCTCTGCAGGGCTTGAAATCAATATAATTTTTTTTTTTTTGATTTCAAATCAGCTTATCGACATAACGATTTTATATCAATAAATATTGATGTAAAAAAATTTTCGTTTTCCATTTAATAAAATATATTAATATATTTTGTTTTTGATATCAATATCTAATATCGATATAATACTTATTTTAATTTTAATTTAGCTTATTTCGATTTCTACTGTTTTTCATAAGTTTGTTTCGTAGTAATTGTACTTGTTTAAAAATAATTAGGACAGGATATTTACTGCTTGTAGCTACCCTGGTGGGTAGCCATATTAATAGTATGTTTATAAAATATACTGATCTAAGTGTAATACTAAAATTTATAAAAATAAATTTTCTTCTTCTTCCTCGTCTTAATCCCAACTACTTGAGGTCGGTAAAAATTTATAAAAATAAACATATTTAATTATATATTATGAAAATTTTCATAATTTACTCTGTCTTTTCATTCAATTTTAATTCTCCAATTACAATTATTATCACACATTTTACAATAATAAACAATGGTAGATTAATAAAATATTTTTTAGAACTTTTTAAGTATATAAAAAATAAATATTCAATTATAATAATTTCGATTAAAATTTTTATTTTTTGATCTCGATTAGCCTTTTAATTTTGATATAGAATTTTATCCATATTAAAAATTTATTTATTTTTAAATCATGTTTAGACTTGAATTTCTGTACGATTATTCGAATTTTGATAAATTGAGTGAAAAGGATAGCTATCTTATTCAAATTATGACCTATAGAACCTTTTCATTTCAAACTTACAAAGTAGGATTTTAATTAAAATTAATACTTGTATGCAATCCATTAAGGCTGAAGAGAGCTGTTCATCTATAGCACCTATATCTTTTGAAAATCGATTAAGAATACGACCTTTAAACAAAATATATGTATTAAAAATTTGTTCAAATTTAAATAAAAAGTTTGTTGTACAAATAAGATAAACAATTTAATTTAAAAAAAGAACATTTTTAAGTAATAACGTGTCACACGTGTGTTATTCAACACTTTAATACTTTCTGATAGCACTTGTTTTCAACGTTTTTTTTACAAATAATGATTATCAGTAATACAGATAGGCACAAATAAACCTAGTCTTAATATGCTCAAAACTACTATAGGCTACCTGACCATAAAAAACAAATCTCACCCACAATCGCCTAAAAATTTTATCAAAACTATTTAACCGCTCAATAATGTACTAAAACTTGAGTTAAACTTTAGAAATCACCCACTATCAACACTAACTTCAGTAAAAAAAAAAAAAAGCTGAAACAATTCACTAAAGTTGTTGGAAGAATTTGGTGAAAAAACCTCGAAACAAACAGAACTAAATTTGCTAATATAACTTTCAAAACCACATTCCCAAAAAGAGATCAAGCAATCAGTCTCAACATCAATGAATACATTACCCAAATTCAGTAACTTTTAGTACTTGGAAAACTAATACTAACGATCGACATTATATTTGCTTCGAAAATCTCAAAAAATGGACTATACGTATTTACTTCACTGCTTGAAAGGAATATGTAGAATCTACTTTTTATAGCTGATACACTAATAGAATCCTATCCATATATAACTATTAAAAACACAACCGTACTAATTTGAAAACTAATCAGCCTAATAATACGTATTATAATCTTCAATGTAAGTCCATTGATTCTTCAATATATAATAAAATAAGAATAAAAGAAACTAGACATTCAAAATACAATAGAAACAATATATTTGAAAAATACAAAGGGCCTCTAACAAATATTGAGATTTCGACAACATTTAGAGACTAGACTATGCCTAGCTTGGGCTCTGCTCTAAACTCGGGGCTTGCAAAATTGTATCCCAAAAAAAACTGCGCGTGAACAAAAAAATAAAGCCCAAAGCGTATGAAGTACATTCGAATAGTAAGTTGATTATAAAATATAAGTTCAAACAAATTAAATATATATACCAATATATCTTTTTATATATAGTGTTCAGTAAGTAAGGAAACGAGTTTCTATTGTTTTCATTGTTCATAATAATTGACCTGTTTCCTTACTTATTGTATAACTAACATAATATCCGAAAAAAAGTTACAACAAAAAAGTATTAAAATTAAAAGTTTAATTCTCTTAACAAAAATAATTAATAATCTAACCCAATTTATACATAAATGAAAACTATAATAAGTTTAACAATAACAATGAATAGAAGAGAAAAATTAAATAACTTAAAATTAATTTTCTATAAGTTAATAGTCAAAATATAAATATGCACAAAAATGAGCCAATGAGCTCTTATTCAAAACATGTGCTTGGAACGTTTTTCTCGAAAATGGTTGAAATTTTAAAACGCTTTCGGGAAGCGACAAAAATTTTCCGACTATCACCAATAATTTTTCCAGAATCTTGTGACCGAGACTAACTTTCGTTGAAAAAAAATTTTGAAAATCGAAGCACGCTAAGTAATTCAAGTGAAATTCAATCATTCTTTTCCAAATGAATATGAATAAGAAAACAATTAGAAAAACTCTGGAAATCAGTTTTAATCGTTCTATTATTAAAAATAACAATCGATGAAGTACCTTCCATTATATGCAAATCGGTAAAAAATCTATTTGCTGATGACATTAATTTATATAGAAATACAAAAACTTCAGAAATTTTTTTACGAAATAAACTAAAGAAAACTAGTTGTAAATTTAACAATAATAATGTGTTAAGCGTTAACAATTTTAAAAATTGTTATCCTAATAAAATTTTGTTCAATGACAAAAATATTAAATTAACAGTTAATTTAAATGTATAGTTACTATACATTTGTTAAAATAAACAAAATTGATTTGTTGACCCAAGAATAAGTTGTTAATTGAATAAAAATCATTGAATCATCTTAACAATACGATTATACATAATTTTATAATTTATTTATTACATGATAAGACATGAATTATAATTCACGCCTAAATAAAATAAAATGTTTGGTGAACATTAAGAGTTTTTGTGAATAATCGTTTATATCGTTGCAATAACTGTTATATAATTTCTGTATTTTTCTAGTAGCGCCTTTTTTATTATTAATTCGTGCAGTTATAATTATTTTTTATAACAAATATATATTTTTAATATAGTTTTTTAAGACTGAAGAACAAAATGAATTAAATTCCAATTATAATTAAACTGAAATACAACAGCTGACAAGATAAGGCGAGTGTTAAAATTGACGAGTTCCACATAAAAATATTTTTATTAGTTAGATATGAATTATTAATATTACTTTTAAAATAATAAGTAAACATAGTCTCAATGTGGAAGGCGGCCTAGAGGGGGCTTTGCACCCATTCTAATTCTATCGCATCTCTCCAAAAAGTAAAAATATTACATATCAATTTATATAGAAATATTTAGGTTGCCATATAAACATTTAACTTGATAGTGGGAAAATCTAACGTAAAAAGAACATCTTAAATATAATGATATTATGTATGAAAATTCCTCCAGTTTCCCAAATCTTCAGAAAAGTTAAAAATAGGCTAGTTAAAATACAAAAGGTGCTAACTACTACACAAGTAATAAAAGAAGGCCTAGTTATGTTATTCTAATGGATAACAAACTTATTGTACTTAATAAAATATCATTCATTTTACAACAATTTTTGATTAATATTTTTAACACATAAAAAAAATTTAGTTTTTATATTGACATATATTTTAATGTGTTCTACCCAAAAAACGTTTGCATTTTTTAGGAAAATAAGAGAAAATTAGACTAAGTTTTAAAAATAATGCTAAACTAAATAAGGATGCCAAAAACTTCTTCAACATTATACTAAAGTAGAAAATTTATCAGATAGTAATAAAAAAATCATTACTAAAATACAATTCAAAAATGTTCTATTTGCTAATTCATAGTGTACAACAAACAATTTAATTGTTCATATAATATACATTTTTATTTTATTTTAGATGCAAAACAATTAACTATTTCTTTTTTGTTGTTGTTCAATATTTACGTCAATAAGCAAAAAAGTAAGATCAATGATCAAGGAAAGTAGAATTTAGTGAAATACACAATAAGGCACTCTCAAAAATCATTTAAAGTGTTTTAAGATATAACATGCTCAATTTATAAAATGTATTAATTCATACAATATTTAATATTAACCATTAATATCTTTCATAACACTTTTTAAATAACTATTAATTCTTACCTGACGAGTTCGAGTTAAAGAAATACATTGTTGCTCTTGTTATAGAGTTAAACATCCGATTATGTAAATTCATTGAAGCTCTCATACAAATAGACACAAATGTAACTGATCGAATTAAAGTTGAAGCTATCATAGTAAATGTAAATACAGCAAAAACAATTATGCAAAAATTTCTTGTAATGAATCCTTCACTTGGGGTTATGTTACTTTGTGAATGAATCGAACTATTGTGAAAAACATTTTCTTCGAGGCTTACCCTAATAAATTAAAAAAATATATTGAATTTCGATTCCATGTTTCAAATAACTTTTAATAATACCAAAAATTGACCCAATAATCGCCACCAGATGCTACTATTTGTGTAAAAACACACATAAAGAGTAAAAAGTTAATTATAAAACAATGTCCACCAGCTGCAAAATAAGAAGAATAAACACCCAACGCCACAGTTCCATAAGATCTTGTTTCTTCTACTTCAATAGGTTCACCTATTTCTTGATCGATTTTACTGTCATCATAAGATATTGAAGATACACTTTGAAATGACATTCTTCGCAGTATAGTATTTTTTAAATTTTTTTGATCAGTATTAATTTTTGAATTAAATTCACCATCAGATGTTATAGAACCATCTTCTGATGTCCCCAAAAATTTAGTAAAATCTAAATCTGAATTTTGAAGTTTTTGATATGATCCTTCAGCTAGAATTTTACCCTAATGAATAATTTAGTATTTATTATATAATATAAAAACACGTGCTAGATTTAAGTATTTCATCGTTCTACAAAATAATTATTTTTGCACCCCATAATCAATATATTTCCTCTTAACACGCATAAAAGTTGCTGTTATATAGACGAACTCGATGGTATTGCTTAGGAGGGTTAAAAAAGTTACAACTCCCATTCATCGCGTTAGCCTTGAATTAAAAAAAATGTCCCTAAAATATTATTTTGGTAATAGCCACCCTTTGTGTGGGTAATTTACGCGCCTGCTGCTTTCCTTGGATGTGGTAGCCGTTTTTCAGACTCCCTCCCCAGAATCGAACACTGATTTCCCGTTACCCGTTACAATTATGATATTGATNGGGTTAAAAAAGTTACAACTCCCATTCATCACGTTAGCCTTGAATTAAAAAAAATGTCCCTAAAATATTATTTTGGTAATAGCCACCCTTTTTTATTATATGTACTAAAATTATATTTCAAATTTAAAGTTTCATTTATATTTCATGAAATGTGCAAACACTTTTAACACTTTTATACAGAGTGATTTTTTTATCATAACCCACTCAATTACTTGCAGAATAAATATATTTAAACATTTTTTTTGGTTATCTTTAACTACACATTATTCTTGAATTATTAACTATTTAAAACTTTTTATGTTCATCCCTTATGCCTTGTAAGGGCGTCAACTTGGTTTTTTAAATGGAAACCCATATTTTTAATTTAATAAAATGTTTGAGTTTTTAATTTAATAGTAAATGGCATTTGAATTTTTAATATAACTTTATTCGTTTATTGAATATAAACGAATAAAGTTATATTAAAAATTCAAATGCTATTTACTATAAAATTAAAAACTCAAACATTTTATGAATATAAAATATGTGTTCCCATTTAAAAAAACAAAGTTAACACCCTTACAAGGCATAAGGGATGAACATAAAAATTTTAAATAGTTAATAATTCAAGAATAATGTGTAATTAAAGATAACAAAAAAAAAAAATATAGTTAAAATATATTTATTCTGTAAGTAATTGAGTGAATTATGATAAAAAAATCACTCTGTATATGTATGTATATACATATATATATATATATATATATATTCCTACAGCCACCGCATATTCCTCGCATAAAACGTTTTCCCGCACCCCGTTTGCCCACAAAACATAGCTATACCTCGTGCATGATACGTTTACGTACTTAAGTCGCTTTACATGTATTTATATTCTAATTATTATTAAAAATATATATTAACACACTTTATTCTTATACCTCCATGTTCCGGGAGTGGGTAATTTACGCGCCTGCTGCTTTCCTTGGATGTGGTAGCCGTTTTTCAGACTCCCTCCCCAGAATCGAACACTGATTTCCCGTTACCCGTTACAATTATGATATTGATAGTAACTACTATCAACATAAAACTAAAAAGTGAAAAATAAATATAGTTATTAAAGCACATCGAACTAAAAATTATTTTTAACTTTTTAGTTCGATGTGCTTTAAAAGCGGTTTTTTTTAGTTTTTTAAAACTATATTTATTTAGCTTAGGCTTAATATTATTCCAAGATACTAAAATGAAACAAGTCACACTAATATCCGAGTTAGTAATGTAAAACAGTTTTTTTCTTGAAAATATCGGTTTTCCTAAATATCTTTTTGGTTAATTTGAAAAAATGAAAACCAGCAGTATCCGGTATAGAGAACAACAGTATAAATTTAAATCTGAAATTGAAAACCCAAAACAATTACCAATTGATTTTAAAATTTTTTAGAATATTTTCAGTTTTAAAATATATTTAAGGGTTTTTTTCGAAAATTCTAGAGTAATACATATAAAAACATATAATTAAGGTTCACTTAACATATTATTTGTCTGTACGGGTCCAGTAAAAACTAAGTACATGAGGCGAGACAGGCATAAAAAGAAATTAATAAAAAAAATGCACTCTATGATAAAATTTCAAGAAAATGAGAGAATATTTTTTGATATAGAGTTTCATATTTTATTTGTAATCGGGGGTCCACAAATCCAAGTTGCAGCGACAATTAAACATGTTAATGATATTATAGTAAAAAACCCCAAAACAATTAAAAAAATTAAAAATAAATGTCAAACGAAAAAAAAAATGTTATTTGAATAGTTATAATATCCCACCATATTATTAAACCCAAACATAATAAAATAAGAAGTATATTCACAAAGCATGTTTTAAATCAAATGTAAGTTTTTATGTATTTTCTAAAAGTTATTAGCAAAAAAAAACTAGTCTTCATTTATAAAAAAAATCTATTAATTCGCTGGTCACAATACTAACTGGGAATTACATTAGATGAACTCTTACACCTTACGGATAATTTTTTGCAAACTAGTTCATCAACTATGATTTCCGTAGAATTTTTAAATATATTTTAAAGGTGATAGATTCACATAATAATCTATGTAAAACTTTTTTCAATTTTCTTCAAGAGTTAATGATATCTGTCAATTAATTTGTGTTGAGTAGTGATAATATAACAGTGAATTAGTCAAAGATGACGATACAATTTAAAATTATGTCAACGGTAATTGACTCTGTCATGGTATTTTGGACCAGGCATCAAAATAATTACCCAGTGTCAATAAAACCATTTTACATTACTTTCTGAACGACCCTCGAAATAATTTAAATAAATTTACTTACATCATCCAGTAATAAAATTTGGTCAACTCTAGTCAGGTACTGCAATTGATGAGTAACAAGAATACATGTTTTTTCTTTTAAAAAACCTATAATAAAAGAATAAAATCTCAGTTTGCATTGTCATTTATTTAGAAAGATACTCATGTATCAATTATGATATCAACATATCATGTAATGATGTTTATAAACAGATTTATTGTAATGTGTAACGCGGATGGGTACAGCTCATACTGCTGTATATTTGTAACGTATACCTCGCCTGCGTATATATTTTATCATTTTTTACAAACTCTAAAAAAAGCTATTTTAAAATTAAAAAAAAAATGTCTACTATTTTTATTATTAAAAACATAATATTAAAATTTTTTTCTCTTATAGTTGTTAAGATTCAAAAATGTTGAACACAATAAATATAAAAGAAAAAGCTTTGTTTGTTGACGATATATCATCAGCAAACAACATGCACCACGGGACCTATCTCTCCTTGTATTTCTCTAGTAAATTCATCCATAACTATAGAGAATAAATAAAAGGGCTTAAAGTAGAACCTTGAAGCACTCCTACTCTTACCCGAAAACGTTCTGATACGCCTCCTACACTTTTTACCCTGGTACAAGTGCCATCATACATATCTTCTATTATATTAATGTAAATTTTCGGTTCTCCTTTTCTCATTTATGCCCACTTTAAAACCTCTCTCGGTACTCTATCATTCAATAATTTTTTCAAAATACTCTTTCCACCTTTTTTCACATCATCATCACTCGAGAGTACCTTATTATCAACACTTTTTATACACCTTATATAATAATAATCTTTTGACCTTTTCTGTCTTATCTTTGCAAGTCTATAGATTTCTTTCTCGCCTTCCTTTGTTCCTAGCCTATCATTCTAGTCATCATACCTCTTAAACTTCGCCTTACTTACTGCACACTTGGCTTCTTTACACAAGCGTTTTTACTCTATCCAGTCTTCTCTCCTTTTACTCTTCTGCCATACTTTGAATTGCTTTTTCTTACTTTCTATGATTTATTGAATGATTTATTGAATTTATTGAATCTCATCACCAGGTTTCCTTGTTTCCTGGCATTCTACTCTTATTCTCACCAACAATCTCCTTTGCAGTATTCTTTACACAACTAGCAAATCTATTCCACACATCATTTATGTCTCCCTTGACATTCTACACCGTCCTCTCTTTTACCGTCTTTACAAACTCTTTTTCATTTTCCCCTTTCAATTTCCACCATCGGATCTTCAATTTTCCCCCTCTATTTCTTCTATTTTTGTTTAATATCTTCCGGTACACCACAACTCCATTACCATCAGTCTATGTTGTGTAGTTACACTCTCGCCTGGTATAACTTTACAATCTTTTACTCGCTTTACACTTTCTCTCTTCCACATAAAATAATCCATCTGTGATCTATTCCTCCCACTCTTATATGTTATATAATGCTCTTCTCTTTTTCTAATATAAGTATTAACCACGACAAGATCATACGATACTGCGAAATCCAGTATTCTTTATTTTTTGATGTCCCTACACCGTTGACACTACAAGCGTTGGGTAGACACCTGTACACATGACGGGTGAAACAGCTACCACACAAGTTGTCCGGCGGGTATCAAACACTTTATTCCTTAGGCCTTCTCCGTTTTTAACTACTTTCTGTTGTCCCCGCGTACATCCGAGATGGGACAGTCCACCTAAGTTTTGTTCAGGATTCCTCATACTTCTTTGACAAAGATTTTTACGCCGGCTGTCGACCTGACACAACCTCATTAGTCACCTCTTACGATTGGTAAGTATTCTTATCCCCTATCCATAAGGAACACGCACAAATATATTTAAAATAATTAATAGTAACCAAAATATGTTTGTAAACAACCGAATAGTAAGCTAATTTAAACTGAATGGCTATCATATTTTTTTATGTCATTAACTGTTTTGTACTTTTTTAATTAGGAAAATTCTATTTCATATGTCTCTTACTTCAGATGTAAAATTTTGTGTTGATTCACTTCATATAGTAATATTACCTGTTTTTTTAATTTCGTTTATAGATTAATAAATATAATGATATGTTTCAGACAATGACAATTTCTATTAGATTAAATTTCGTGCTAATATCAATAACATCTATTAAGATTATGTCCAGTATTAAATTCATAATTCTTTATTTATGTATAGTTAAGTTTCTTAATAATAATTGCTCGATTAATCAACCCATTAAGTTCCGAAATAATTATACACTTTGGTCTCGTTTAAATATCTTTTTCTTTTTGTAAAATCTTAACAGTAGAATATTTATTTAATTTTGTTTGTATTTATTATTTGTTTAGTTGTACAATTTATTTTAAATGTTAGCTGTTGGATTTTTTATGTGTATAAAATATTATTCAACACTCAAGTATAAATAAGTAATATGGTAACCCTTATTATTTAGTGAATCTTGTTTAGTATGAATTATTTTGAAATATTGAATATTATATTCTTAGTTAAAAACTATTACACATATTCCCATGTTATGAAATGTGTAAGCCATAAACTGTTTCCCATTTGGTGATTGGAAATTGAATTAAAAATATCTGTCATAATTGAACTGATTTTTACTTACCCAGTAACTACAAATCTGTATCGAAGGAATTTTTTTTTAATTTATGACATTAGTGTTAACTAAACTATTTTTATATTCACTTTTATTTGTTTTTGGTACATGTTATATCTTTGATGTTTGTTTTTATTGGTTTTACTTCAAACTAAATTTGTATTGATATATTTTTTTTTGTTAAGATTTAACTCAATATAATAAAATTTAACCAACTGTTTTAATCTTACAAATGGATTTATGCGCATGACAAATATGGGTAATGAATGCGTGGTTACACATGTGCAGTCATATTTTTTTATTTACTATCTATCCAATACTTTGTTAAGAAGCTTTATTTCAAAAAATCAATGAAATATATTTAGTAGATTAAAAGGTATTAGATTTGTCAAAGCATTGTGGAGTACCTATATAAATTTATATATTTTTTAATAATACCTTTGATACATTTTTCAAATAAATGTCGACCTACACGAGTATCAACAGCTGATAATGGATCATCTAGTAAGTAAACATCTGCTTCTTTGTAAACAGCTCTAAAAAAAAATATAATAAATATTATATTGAATAAAATAATATTTGTCTTAAAACCTTGCTAAATTAATCCTAGCTCTTTGTCCTCCACTAAGGGAAACTCCTCTTTCTCCTACTATTGTTCTGTCACCATAAGGAAATTGTTCAAAATCTTTTTCCAATGCACATACATCAACTACCTAATATAATAAAAAGTGAATATCTTTCATAAAATATTATATAAAACACAAAATAATAAATATTTATCAGTTAGCATGTAGTACTTTTTTATAACGTCTCCTATTCATAGGTGATCCAAAAAGGATATTTTGCTGCACTGTAGCTGCAAATAACCATGGTTCTTGAGAAGCATAAGATACAATTCCATTTACAGATATACTTCCTCGTATAAGAGTAAGTTCTTGTAATATTGCTTGAAATAAGGAACTCTAATTCAATAATGAGTGATATCATTACATTAAAATCTCATTTATTAGTAAAAATGGTTTTCATGGTTGTTATGATGCATACTTTACCACAACCTACAGGGCCAATTATAGCAACTAGTCGGCCAGGTGTAACAATCAAATTAATATTTTCTAATGTGTTTTCAACTTGTGCATTTGTCCACTTGGCCATTATATTGTTTATCACTACTCCAGGTTTATTAGAAGCTATATTATTACTTTGCTGTGTGTTTGAATCAATTTTTTCAACAGTATCAACTAATTTATTAAAACCATTATTAGGTTTTAACTCCTTAGATTGAAAAGACGGCTGCGTATTTTTTTCTTCATACATTAAGAAATTCTAAATTTAAAGAATATAAGAAAGTATTTGAATAATTCAGACAAAAAAAATTACTTGAAGTCTTTTTATTGAAATAAGCAATTCAGCTATTTGTCCAATTGCTTGAGGAAACAATACAGTCATAGTATTTCTAAGTATATTGTAATATGAAGTCACAACAAAAACCTAAAATTTTATTGAAAAGTATAAGATACTTAAAAAAATAGAGTTCCAAGTATAAAATATTTCACATAAAATTTTCAAGTTGAAATATTACCTTTATTCGAGGTAGTTTTATTTCTATAAGTTTTAATTTTTTAATAAAATAAAATTAATTTTTTCAACTTTCAGTGTAAAATTAACAGTATTAAAATAGTTTTTATGAATTTTAAGTGTACTTATTTTATAATAATGAATTGAATTTAAATTTTTTTGTTTTTTTTTTTTTGCATTGATATCAAAGTTAATCTTGAATTTTCACTGTAAATTTAGATTTTTAAATAATTAAGCATTACGATAGATGACTAATAGCTCTAAAAAACTTTACATTCACCCAACCCAACCAAACCCAACCCTAAAATATAATTTTATATATTGAACAATTATAAAAACTAAACAATCAAAATTATACACACATAACTCAATTTATTAAGTTTATTCAATTGAATAAATTAAAAATTGTTTAAAAATAATTATATATAACTAGGTGTTCAAATTTGGTAAGGCACTCATTATCTCAGATATCCAAATCGCAATTCTTAATGATAAAATTTTATTAGGAGGACCAGGAAGAATTAATTTCTACCGAGAAGGTGTATTTACTGATAAATTAAAAAATGACAGACTATCATATACTATTGATGTTTATGTTATGACTAATGAAGCTTTAATATGTGACTTGTTAGTAGAAAAAGTAATACTTCAAATAAATGCTAAATTGTACATAAATTCTTAATATATGAAAGTCATTAAATTTAATGAAGAAGAAAATCATATCATGTCTATTAATATACCTTGCAATGAGCTCAAAATAGATGCAACAACTTATACAGAGGAAATTAATAAAATAGTGCAAGCTTATGAACCAAATCTAGTAAAACTTACACCGAAAGAAACAGTTATTTTATTAATGGATAAAGAATCCATTTATGAAAGACCACGGCGCTTATCTCTAGTGGAAACATGTCAAGTTGTACAATTTATACAATTCTTGACTTGGGAAATAGATTTTTCCATGTTCCAATTTATAAAACAGCATTAAGTTTACCTCTTTTGTCACACCTAGTAGGTAATATGAATTTTTTCGAATCCCTTATAAATTGTAAGTGTCATCTTTCAAAGATATATTACCTTGTCTTTAATGATTACATTAAAAAAGGTTTATTATTATCATATATGAACGATTTAGTAATATTAACTAGCAGTTATGAAGAAAGTATTGAACGTTTAAACCTAAAATTGCAAACTGCTTCTGAATATGGACTACATATTAAATGAAGCAAATGTTAATTTCTACATACAGAAATCGAATAACTGACTGTGCTGCATTCACAATGATTATGAAAAAGAAAAAATTTGGCAACTAGAGTAGCAAGAGGGGCTCTACTGCTTGAAGTATTTAGTTATTAGTAAGGTTGACATAATGCCTATGCACTCAGACCTGTCGGTCCATTGTGCACAGCTTGAAGTATTTAATTATTCAATTGAATGCCAAAGTAGATTTAACTTACCTCATATATCTCATAAGAGTATATTGATGCTCTTAGTCGATAATCGGGATGCTTAGCGATTGAAAATGAATTTTTTATTAAATTACGAAGAGCTCAAAAGAGGGATACAGAGATTAGCATTTTGACGGAAGTTCTAGCTATTTCAACTAATCAAAATTATTTAATTGAACATGATTTACTATACAAGATGAAAGATGGCCAAACATTGTTTGTTGTCCCTAGATACATGCAAAAGGAAGTAATAAGAAAAGTACATGAAATAGGACACATTTGAATGTAAAAAAGTTGAAGAACTATTGAAGAAAGAATATTCTATGTCAAATATGAAAATAAGAATTGAGAGCATTTTTTGGCATAAAATTGACTTGTGTGTACATTAACTAATCGAAAAAGTGGTAAACAGAAAGGTTACTTGAATAGTATTAATAAAAGCGATTTTCCATTAGTTACCTACCATGTAGATCATTTGGGACCATTAGCTGCTACAGCTAAAAGATACAAATATATATTTGCAGTGATTGATGGTTTTAACAAATTTGATTGGTATTTTCAACCAAGACTACTACATCCAAAGAAGCCACTGATAAAATGAAGACTTTGTCTACTACTTTTCAGACAAACTTGTGTCAGACAGTGGAGGAGCTTTTGTTTCACAAGAATTTTCTGATTATTATAGTAAAAAAAACATTCAGCATATAATGATTACTACAAAAATACCAAGGAGTAATATGCAAATAGAAAGAATAAATGCAGTTATTATTTGAGTCATTACCAAATTAAGTTGTGATTAAGAAATTTCTAATAATCAAAATAATAACATTCATGTCTGTCCTACAGCCATTACTATGGTTGGGTATGACTATGAATTGTTAATAATATTAAAAATACTGATTTAACAGTTGTTAACGACCAGTCACTTTCTTAATTATATCATCTCTTTTTAATAAGCTAGTTAAATATGTATGTTGCCATTTGAAAAAATAAAGTTGACAGTCTTATAAGGTATAAGGGATGAGTTAAAAAGTAATTAATAACTGATAAATCAAGAAATATATATAACATAAATAATATCAAAAATAATAAACAAATTTAAAGAAAATAGAGTGGCTAGAGTTAAATAATTACTATGTTTTAAACTCGATAATTTTAAATTAAAAACTATGTCTATCAATAGAGTGTTATATACATAAATAATTTTTACATTATGCGCAGTGATATAATTTCCAAACAATACGAAACCAAGAACACTGACAAACAGAGCCAATCTAGTTTGAAAAATAATGAATGAAAGAAGTATCCCTTTGACATAAGAACCACCTCTAATTTGCTTGATTTCATCTCTGAAAAATAGTCTTTCTTTTATTAAATTCAAATAAAATGTGTACTGTATATTCATATACTTTCTTGCCATTTGTACGAGATAAGCAAATGGTTTTTCCCAAGTGTACATTTTTATGACTTGTATACCTGATATGATTTCATTCATCAAGCGTACTCTTTCATCAGTTCTAACCGCAGTTTTAGAACGGAATTCTGATGTTTTTTTACCTAACCAACCTATAATAAAAAATTCCAATTTTAATTAAAAAAAAACATTTATTTATTAAAAGTAATGTTATTATTTTATTAACCTTGTACAGGTATACCCAAAAGGAGCACAAGAATTCCAAATAGAGAAGACGGGCCAATTTCCTGCCATAAGTAATATCCCACAACTATAGTCTCTATTGGTCCAATCCATAAATAATGTAGATTTAAAATTGAAATATCAAAACGGTTTACATCATTTGAAAGTAAGTTGACAACTTGACCAACCGTAGTCTCGCCAAGAGCAGTTTTACTTAAACGAAGAGCCTATAAAAAATTTATTTATTTTTCAGTTGGATGTAGGTGATCAAATTTTTTTGGAGGGCTAAATTTAATTATCCCCTTCCAAAAAATCATTTTTATATAACAAAATGCATATAACTTTGCTAAATTTCTAGGGAGGATAAATTGTAAACTAGAGGGGGCTGCCTCCTTAGTTTACCATAGTACCATACGCTCATGATAGTATTTGGATTTTTGAAACAAAAAATTACTTAAATGTTTAGTATTACAAATAATTACAAATAGTTCATCTATATACATACATACTTGCATCAAAGTATATTTTAATAATTCTAATTACTGTTCAATATTTATTGATTACAACTTTGCTGGATAATGACTTAGTCAAATTTTTTTATTGCAATTTAAAATCTTGAACTATACTGTTCATATTAATATTTATTTATTTTAATTAACTTTTTCTTTTTCTTTCAATACAAACAAACAAATTTATATTCAATGTACTCTTATACATAGAAGGTGATCCAGCACATTTGAGAATTCTAGTAACTTTTGATCCAATTAATATTTATAATATATATAATAAAAAAAAAAATTCAAGATAGTCATTTTATAGAGTACATTTTAAGAAAAAATTATCTTATAAATTTTTTGTAGTAAAATTTCTGTAGCATTTTAAAAATTGTGAACATTTAATTTTAAAGTTAATTATTATGATGTCAATTGAATATGTATTGTGAAAAGGAAGAGTGGTGATAAGGAATAGTAGTAGCAGTGATTTTAGAACTGTTATTTCCAAAAAAAACTTAATAACAACTACTACTAAAAAGAACAGAAGAAAGTTTAATCTCTTCACTTTAATTAATGTTTATAGGCAAAGCTAAGCAATAAGTTAGTCATTTTTTTCAACTAGTTCAAGTTAAATTACTTTAATATAAAAACTAACTATAGTTATAAATAAAAGTTTAAGCAGTCCCAAAATTTATACTGAATTATAAAATTTTTACATAGTTTTAATTTTAATTTTTAATAAAATTAATTTAAAAAAATAATGTAAAATATTAACTAAATTAAAGTTGTTGGAGTGTGCTAAACCACTCTGTATATTATTTTTAAAGATATCTTAATAGAATTAAATAATGCAATTGATTTTAAAGTTGATTATGTTTTTATAATTTTTACCTTATTATATACAAGGTTACACGTTGCTATACGCATCTTCATACCCATATGTGCCAGATTTATTCCATGTGCAGTGAAACCTAAGGTCTGAAATAATGTAGCCAATATCATACCCAATGCATTAAGCGCTGGAGAACCACTTTTGTGTTCATTTGTTTCAAAGTATGCAATAATACGACCCAAAAAGTATGGTTGAAAAGTACTGCAATAAAGAAAATTCATTTAAAAAATAATTCAAGATATTTAATAGTTCTATTTGAACTATTAAATAATGATAAATTATTAGATTGAGGCTATTAATCTATTCGAAAATCCAGACGGAAAATTTTTTATTAGGTAAATTTCATTTTAACATTAAATGTATTTTATACATACCTTAATACCATTTCTGAAGTTAACAGAAGCAGTCCCAACAACATAAATTTTTTTCCAAACATATTTAGTAATGCCCTCAAAAGACTTGGTTTGCGAAATGATACTTTCGCGTTGGATAATTCCTTTAGCCATTTCCTTGTATTAAGATTATAATTTAAATTTAATGTAGATTACAAAGTAAGTGTTATTTTGGTAAAAAAACCATAAGGTTGCTTTAATACCAGCCAAATTCAAATCACATTTTGATCAGGTTGGGTTTGATACACGAGATAGATAAGTGCAGTTTCTTATTGCTTTTTGCATTAAGGGCATGATACTTTTTTGACACGGTAAAAATTCCTTTGTAGTTAACAATCTGAAAACCTTTAGCAGCAAATTTAGCTGAACATTAAAGTTTATTTGAAGTTAATATGTTAACTGTGTCACATCATGCCCCTATCAATAGATTACATACTAAAAATAATTTTTAAATATTATGTAGACAAACTTACTTATTTAATTCATTTCCTAGATAAGAAGATTTATGAACATCTAAGGTAGTATACAAGTCAGTTACTTCCAAATCCCGTTTTTTACCTACATTAAACAACTTAACTGTCCATCTAAAAATAAAAGAATTAATTATACCTCTAGAAAACTATAAATCTATAAAAAATAAAAGAGATATTAACTTTCAGTATATTTTTAATTAAATTCTTTTTTATTTATAAATTTAAAAAGAAAGATTAATTTATAAATTAATACTTATTGTTATATAAAAATATATTTTAAGGTAGAAGAAATTTAAATCTAATGATACTAATAAAATATTTGGGAGGATAAGCCCCCAATATTTATTTAAAATACTTCTTATTTTTTTCAAGAGAGATTTTTCACTATCCAGTGTACTAACTAAAAAATTGATACAAAAACGGAAACATATTACCCGATGTATATTTTTAGGCTAGTTAATCCCTATTAGTATACATTAAGGTTGTTTGATGTTAACTGACCGGCCATAATCTGGTCGAAATAAAAATCTATAGTAAAATTTAATTTTACTATACAAAACACAGTCTTTTATACATTTAACTTTACTTTATGATTTTTTTGTTTTACTTTTTTCCAATGTTGGGCACTAGCGTGTTAAACAGTAGGAATTTAAGTTAGTGTTCAATAATTGTGATTAATAGACTCTTTAATATAAAAATTTGTCTAGTTGGAACTCTACCCCAGATTTAAGGCCTTACGAGTCTTACGCGACGAAGATGCGGAGCCTCTTTGGGCCATCCTTATATGTAGGACACTGATTCCGATAGAAGAACCCGGTTATGGCCGGCATGATAAGTGTTTTGCAAAAAAAATATTACATCAGAATCATCAGTGTATTTATAAATACACATGTATTTATAAATACATGTATTTATAAATTTATTTTATAAAAATAAATTAAAATGTGAATTATTAAAATCATAAAAATTAAAAAAGAGAAAATAGTAAAATTTGGTATAAGGTCAACGTTTATTTATTGAGGTATTCACCAGGGGCGTATTCAGAAATTATTTTAGGAGTGTATTTACTTTTGTAAACATGCTATAGAAATTTTTTTTTCTAATAATCAAAGTGATGATAAAAAAAACAGGTCTTTAGAGCCATAACTCTTAGATAGCGGCCTAAAAAAATATTCATAGCACTGGTCTAAAATTCAAAAGCGAATAAAATACATTTGAACATTAAGTTGATTAAAAAGTATAAGTTCAAACAAAAGATATATATATATACATATAACAATTAATTTGATTAAATTATCAACAAATTTTGTATTATAAACGTATTTAAAAAAAACCCAGCACAGTGAGGTCGTGGCATAGTTGGGTCCAGTATAGATATCTGACAGTGATTAAAATCACTATCATAAAAAACGCTTCGATGCAAATCTGTAGATAGTGCTAAATTAAAAAAAAAAAATTTCTTAAAATAGCATATTTTTGAATATGGTAGCCATTTGCGCATAGAAGATAGATCGTCGGGACAAATTTTAGCTTCGATGCGAAGCGGAAAAGATATTAATTTTACTATGATGTGTTTTTTTTTTTT